AGTGCCATTACTAAATGCATCTGACAAAAGTACAGTGCCTTCATACTGTGAGAGGGCAGCTTCATCACTAGCAAGGCATGATAAGAGTCAAAGCAGTGTATGGCTGTAACTGTCTGACACTTGAATAAGTAAAGAAATTACTCAGTATCCTTACATACAATACTTGTTCAGTGTATGTACTTATGTCATTAAACATAACAGTATTACCTTTTCCTGTACGAATATTCAAATGTCAGTTACTGGTGCCTGATTAGCAACACATAGCATGTGCTCTGTTCTGATAATATATGATTTTAACTTGGCTATTTTCACTGAAAAGACCGATCATTTTTACCATTACATACTGCTTCATACTATTGATCAACATTTTGCTATTTTTCAAAAAATATTAATTTCTTTCAATGCAGATCCTTTTCTGTGTTTAAACAATTCTTAACTGCATCTGTCTTGTTCTCATAACTTTTATTTAATGTTTTTATTGTATTTTCTATACTCATCACAACCTGATAAAAACTGTGTCAGTGTGTGCCATAATAGTTTTCCTTTAGCTTCTCATTTGACCTTAAAGGCCATACACTCATTCAAACAACAGTACACAATATGGAGATCAGTCAGTAGCCCCACATTCTTTTATGGATATTGTACAAGAGCAATCAATAGAATTTCAAGCCTTCTTAATTCCCTCCAGTTGTCCTTTGTATTTATTTATTTTATTTTATTTATTTTTTTATCAAGAACTGCTAATATCAGCTGAACCTCCATGTTAAAATTTAAATTCTTGCTTACCTGTTGAATATGATATCGGAATCAGCGTGGGTAATTTGGCTCAGAAACCCCTCCTTTCACCCTCACTTCAGCCTTTCATTTTTTTTAGTTGATCCCTTGCATCGTATTATACTTCATTGTGTATTATCTTTTTTTTTTTTTTGTATCTTTCTGTGCACTACATTTGTCTTAAGGTGTTTTTCTTCATGTTCTCTACGGTCATTGCCTTTTTCTTGTTTATTATTGTCTTATTACTCGGTCCTTTTAAAACCATTTGGACATTCTCCTAATTTGATTTGTGTTATGCTTCTCTGTGTTGATTCTCCCATCTCTAACTATTATGCTGTAAATGAGACTCATGCACACCTCCTCTTACCCAGTCCCTCTGCATTTTATTCTTATAGGCTCCTGTGCTACTCCCTGACCACACTCCTTCATTCATTGCCAGAGAACTAGCCCTATTAGCTAGGCTTTTTCCTACTGATTTCTTCAGTAGCCCTGCCTGCAACAGTTCCTTAGGCACAATGATTAACCATACCCTTTATAACCTAGCAGTGTGATTACTGCTTCTTCATTTCTAATTCTGCAGTTTTAACTTTCCCTTTTGCCCTCGTTCCTGAGCTTCTAGCTTCAGTGACTTAGCAACAGCGATTCCTTTAAATGACATCTCTTCCAATTCCTATATCTGTGATGTCTCGCTCTGCCTACCATCTTCTATGGACGCCATTTTGTTCAGGTGCATGGATGGCATGCAATTGGCTTGTTGTTTAAACGTAGATTTTTCACAAAATCTTTTTCGCAATCCAAATGTCTTCCCTGAAGAAAGTTGATACATGTTACATATTTTGATTAATACTGTTTTTAATTTTAAGATTTAAAGTTTGTACACTTGAGCATTATTTGAATGACAGGTAGTAATGAATCTAGACTAATGTCCTTAATCATAGTTTAAATATTTGCTTATTTTCTTCAGTGTCCCATCTCCAGTAAATAAAAGAAAAATAAATAATATTTAAATATTGATAGCCTAGTCCCTTTAAAAAAAAAGTTCCAATTATTGCCAATATACCATCACATTGCTATGTTTTCACTTAAATCTGGAAGCCAAGAATTAGTTGATAAATACATAATGCTATACAGTATTTAAAGATTGAGCCTATAAGAGTCCTTAGGAGAGTTGTTGCGGCAACCCACCTTGACCTTACTAACTACAACCACTATAACTACCTCCTTCTGGACTGGAGCTGTTCTCGTTTCTGTCACGTTTTTCGTCTTGATCTCTTTTTACCTGCCGCTGATGCCTGCCACCGCGCCTCGTTTGGTTGGTCGGCTGGCTGGTTTCTTGTCCACCCCGTTATGCTGGATGGCTCGATCTACCACCACCACCACTACTACCACCACAACTAAAACCACCAATACCATCACTGTCACTAATCAATCAACCATCTACCACAACTTGACACTTGACTACTGACTGTTCTCACTATTTAAAAAAAATATATCACTACTACGACCATTAATAATATTAACATACCACCACATACACTCGTCATGCAACTTGTATGTCTCTCTCGTACTAACAATATTTCTAACAAATTTTCACTACTGCTATTTTTCTTATAATGCATCTGTTATGTAAAAACACACAACTATACTACTAATCTGTGACTCAAACCATTCATTTTTAATCTTAATATCAATATACTGTACTAACATGACAATGAACACCACTTCTTTTGGCATTGATTTAACTCAACTTCTTCAACTTTAACCCCCAAAATCTAACACGTTCTTCACTACCACCATCATTACCATTACTGCCTCTGTTGTTCTATATGTTATATTACTACTCATACCATTACTATTCGTTCTACTACCAATATCAATCTTATTACATGTATTACAATAATTTCTACAACTTACAATACTCATTACTGTCCATAACTGATAACTGTATGATCCTGTTTTTTTCTCACCTCAAATGCTACACAATTACTGTCACTGTCATCAATATTATTGAAATTACCAATATCACCACCTATTTACCACCACTAACACTGCCACACATACCACCACCATCACTACCACCACCACCACCACCACCACCACCACTACCACCACAACCACAATACCACCATCATCACTACTGCCACTACCACAACCACCACTGCCGTCGTTCTACTGCTGTACTCCCGCTGCCCGCTGTATCCCATTGACAAAGGATCGCTTCCGCTAGGCCCTCCGCCTCCACCTCCACGGAATGTGTCGGTTAAGAAGATAACGGATGGGCCGGATGGGTTCCTTATCTCCTGGCTGCCCCCCCTTGACACGAGCATTCCTGTCGCCTACTATGACATCGAGTATCGAACAGATGGATCTTGGAAGAAACTAAATGATGATCATATTATGGGAGAAACTACTTACAGAAGTAAGTTGTTGTGTTACGTTCTTTAGAGATAATGGCTTCGGGCTAAGAAAATTAGCTTTGAAAACTTGTACTGTACATAGTTGTTGTCAGTTTGTCACTTTTACAGTTATATTGATTATATTACTGTAGTTTAATATTAGAGATTACTTAACATATTTCCACTCTTATTTACTGTTCTGTTCTCCCTGGTTGATTCTACAGTCAAGAAACTTCAGTCTGGAAAGAAATACTACTTCCGTGTCTTTTCCAAGACACTCCGCAGTTATGCTCCATCACCTGAAGTTTTATTTGTTTCTCCTGTGCAGAACAAAGAAAAAGTAAGTATTTTCTTTCTTTTTTCCATTGGGTATGTAAATCAATAGTATGAAAAAAATTTCAGAAAGTTCTATTAACTTTAGTGCTCTATATACTATGTCAAAGGTAAGACATGTGATGAGTATTTTGCCTTTATAATGTTAATTCAGTGAATTTTAACTACTGGTAGCTCATACTATATACTGTACTGGATATTGAGTCAACTGTTTTGTGTGAAGGAGATACTCAGATGCCTGAAGAAAAAGAAAATTAGAAATGACAAGTGAAGTGCTTAAGAGCAATATATAGAGTAATTGTGGTGCTGATAAGAAATGCAGAAATAGGAAAGGGATGTGGAAACGAAAGAAGTGTTGTGTAGAGACACGTGTATGAGTCAGAGCTCACTGATAATGACGGAGAAATGAGCAATAATCTGAATAAATATTTTTCAACAGTTTTCACCAACGAAAATTTAAACATGATACCCGAGGCACCAACTATATACAGAGATAGTGAAGAAAATAGATTAGGCGAGACAGTAGTGACTAGTAACGATGTTAGTAAGCAAATAGACAAACTAAAGCCTAATAAGTCACCAAGTCCCGATAAGATATTTGCCAGAATATTAAGGGATTGTAAGAAAAATAGTATGCCCTTAGCAAAGCTGTTTAACATGTCCTTAAAAATGGGTGTAGTACCAGAGTCCTGGAGGATAGCTAATGTAATACCGATTTTCAAGAAGGGAGATAAATCACTATCCTCTAACTACCATCCAATCAGTTTAACATCAATTGTAGGCAAAGAAATAATTTCAAACTACAGTATTTGAAATCTTCTGGAGAAGCACAAGTTGATCAATAATTCCCAACGTGGCTTCACAAGCGGGCATTCCTGTCTATCTAATCTATTAATATTCTTTTCAACTGTTTTCGAATCGGTGGACCAGGCACAATTATGATGTGGTACATCTCGACTTTAGCAAAACCTTTGACAGAGTCCCCCACGAAAGACTAATAAGAAAAGTGGAGGCTCATGGCATTGAAGGAGATATTCTAAAATGGATTAGGGCGTGGTTACAGGACAGGAAACAGCAGGTGAGCATTAACTGCATTAAATCCGTTGGAAGCGACGTCACTAGTGGAGTACCGAGCTCAGTACTTGGACCATTATTATTTATTATATACATAAACGACATAGATATCCATGTGAGCAGCAACATGAGTAAATTTGCTGATGACACTAAAATAGGGCGTGTAATTAAATCTGACGAGGACTCCGCAAAACTACAGGAAGATCTAAACAAATTTTTTGAATGGTGTGAAAGATGGCCGATGAAATTCAATGTGGACAAATATAAAGTACTCAGTCTTAAGCCAAGTAAACAGTGTGTATTTGCTCGATACAAGGCTAATAAAGTACCTGGGTTCATACAAAGAATTGTTAGTTACAAGACTAGTGAAGTTATCCTCAAACTATATCTTGCGCTTGTGAGACCTCACTTGGATTATGCGTTTCAGTTCTGGTCACCGTATTACAGAATGGATATAGAATCTTCAGAAAGAATTCAGAGGAGAATGACAAGACTAATCCCGGGCATTAGAAACCTTGAGTACAGAGACAGGTTAAAGCATCTTAATTTGCACTCTCGAGAGAGACGGACAGTGAGGGGCGATATGATCGAGGTGTTTAAATGGAAGTCAGGGCCAAACAAAGGGGACATTACAAAGGTACTCAAATTATCCAACCAGGAGCGAACTTATAACAATGGTTTTAAATTAGACAATGTTAGATTTAGGCGTGAAATAGGTTTGGGAATAGAATAGTGGATGAGTGGAACAAGTTACCAAACATCATCATTAACTTGAATACGCTGGATAGCTTCAAACATAGGTTGGATGGATATATGAGCAACAAGGGTTGGGTGTAATGGGACTGCCCAATATGGGCCAATAGTCCCGCTGCAGTTTCCTCCATTTTTATATTCATATGTTCTTATGAAAGACCAAGGAGGAGATGGAGGGAAAGGGTGAAGGATGCACTTTAAGTTACGGGGATGCACATCCAGGAAGCAACAGTGGGAGTGATTCTTAGGTTACTTTCTGATAAGAGTTTATGGTAAAAAAAAAAAAAAAAATAGATAACTGCTGCTGTATAAAAAAAAAGTTATTATAAAGTCTAGAACTATTTTATATTTAATGTATCATTCATGAGCCTGTATGTTTCTTTTGTCTCTCCAATATTTATTCTAATTAATTAAGGAAAATTTCAATTTTTTGTGCCACAAGTAAGTGATTGAATTTGTATGTAAAGGTGGGCCCTCCTGCTCCTGGTTTTTTTTTTTTTTTAGGAGAGTTACCTCCAATATACAGAGCCTTTATCATTTCTACAAACACGTCTTGAGACTACTTAATAGTTACAGTATTCTGTACCTGTAATGACAAAATTAACATAAAATTGGGAAAGAATGTGAAGGGCTTACTGGAACTGCAAAAACAACTGATGTTAAAACACTGCAGTACTGTACTGTTCTATTGTGCAATTGTGGACAAAATTCCTTGAACACTTGCCAGTATATGGCATGTAAGTACTTGAGATCATTAGGCAAGGATGATTGGAATTTTAAAAATTTCTCAGATTTTCCTTTGTATTAAGAAGTGTTTTTACCTTTTATAGTTCCATCATAATACACTATGTGATGAAAGGCAACCTTATTAGACATACACCAATCATATAGAGTAAAGGACCCATAAGTAGATGCCAGATATTGCCAAGTGTTCAGGGAATTTTATCCATAACTGTACATGTACCTGTAGTAGCCACAATCTCAAGTCTCAAAATTGTTACCGTACTGTACTTTGGTTGTTGGGATAGTATGTTTGGTTAAACTTTTTTGCCTTACAGCAGAAATTCTTGGCTTGGAAGTCGTCCATTTTTCCAGCGAGTACTGATTTGTGAGTAATTCTGGGGTGATGAGGTGTGGTCATGTCTTGTCCTTAATCCACATACAGTGAATGGGTTGCAGTAAATAAAGAAGGACTCTGTGTTGCCTTCTACAGTACTTGTACCCCGCTTAACGCGGACAATTGAACCCACAGGGTACCGCGTTAAGTGAAAACCGCGTTAAGTGAACAACAGAACATATGGGATTAATTCCAATAGAGACTGGCGACCCAAACTCCACTTTTTGACGACACACAACTATGTTGTAGTAAAAATATTATCTTAACTTTATGATGGTATGTACACACAATTAATAATTAAGAGAAATATCAATAATATTAGGTTTTTTAACACTTACATTAGTAGAAAAGATGGCTGGGCACACGGGGATGGGGGGTTGGTTCCGAGGCAGAGGGCAGATTATTGGCCCTCGCCTGTATCACTTGTATCAATTGTATCACTATCCACCACAGAGGCTTGCAGGGCCTCTTTGTTAAACCCCTCAAAGTCCATATCCTCACTATAATTATCACTATCACTGACTTGGGACGGCTGTGGTGGGTGGCGGGTGAAGAACTCGGTAATGTTTTGATGACTGGGCAACCTTGTGCGCATCGTGCCCGCGCCGCTTCCCGCGTATATGAGTAGATGAACCGTGTTAAGTGAAAGTTCGGTTCTGGCGAGGCACCGTGTATATGAGAAATCGCGTTAAGTGAAACCGCGTTAAGCGGGGTACAACTGTATTTTGGCAATCCTCTAGCATACCAGGAAAAGGCTTTCAAGGTTCAAAAACACTCTCTCTCTCTCTCTCTCTCTCTCTCTCTCTCTCTCTCTCTAAATTGTCTCCTGTAGAACCTAAGACTTAATGAATAGTTCTTAACTCTAACAGATAAAACTCTGAACAAGAGAAAATAACAAAAACAAAAGATGTCAACTTTTGAACCCAGCATCAACTGCTTTTCTAAGTTTATGTGATGTGTTATGCTTTCAGGCAATAACTGCAGCACTGGTGGGTGGCATCCTCTTCTTTATAGTTGCTATCATCCTCTCTGTTTGTACTGTCAAGATATGCAACAAGCACAAGAGAAGGAAGCAGGAAAAAGGTACTTTACATTTTTTTTTACCTTGGAAATTAGTGTTGCATTTTTAATTATAAGTAAACATCAGTAGCAACGTTTTATGGATCATCAAAGAGTGATGGCCAAAAGCCACATTGATTGTTAAATACCGTCTGGCAAAGCCTGTCTTTTGCACTAACGCCTTGACATGGGTAGCTGCATTATTCAAATGAACAAGAGTTTTGCTACAAGCAGCCTTCTCGGTCAGAGTCGAGGCTTTAACCCCATGTGATTAAAAGGCTGCCTTAGGAGTTAGGGCTGTGAGGCTTCAGTTCAGCATAAAGGAAAGTTCACCCCCTTGCACTCTCAATTTCTGCTGTGTTGCCAAATGGGTGAAAGTTAGTCCTAATGCATGTAGCTGTGAAATTTTCTTTCTCTGAGCCAAGGCAAGAAGGGAAATTACTAATATAAAGACGATTTCTAAATCTTGTAACATGAATGTACTGTACTTCTAGAATTAAAGAATTTAGGAACTGGCTCCAGAGACCAAGTACCTTGTAAAGATTGTAAAGGTCTTCATAAAAATAAATATTGGGAATGATCAAAATTTCAGTGAAGAAAAGATAAATAGCAAAAACCAATCACACCTGGCTAGCCAAAATGCATTGATAGTAGGCAGACTAATTAACAATTATTTCACTGAAAACCTTTGAGAAGAATTACATAGATCAAAGGAAGTCAAACAGTCTCTAGCTTCTCTACACTACCAAACTCCTGAAAAATTCTCAAAGAAGATTCTGACTGTCTAGTAATCATAACCTCTAGAGGTCAAATTAAAAAACTATCTATAGAGCCTAGAATGAAACCCTAAATTTGGGCCTAGGTAGATATGTACAACTTTCATCAACTTGGTAGACAATAATTTTTAAATACCGTGTACCGTATAGAACTCTGTCCAGCACGTATCATTAATTCATATTTATATACAGTATAGTACTACAAAACATGTGAAAATACCTTGTTAATCTTCTGTCATTTCTCTAAAGGTAAAGCCTCCAAGAGATATTTATTTCATTTGCAGTGAATCCTCAAAGATACGGACTAAAAGGGGGGACCAGCTGTCCGGAAAAGCCGATTGTCCGGATTTTCCGGTGAATAATAAATTATATAAGAAACGCCCAAAATACAGTACTAATGTAGTGATGAAGAAATTATTGCATTAAACCATGCATTTACCTTTGATAACATAAAATAAACATTGTATCATTACTAGAGTGAATGAAATAATATTCCCACAAACAACAAATGTCAACTCTTTATGTTTCCCACCTCCTTGGGCACCAGTGTCCAAGCAACTGATGGGTCAAGCAGCGGCCACAGGCCTAAAATTTTCTTTGCCCTGGTTTGGGGATGTTTCTTAGGGAAACTTCTAGGAGGCTTCTTAGCCCAGAACCCCCAAATTTTTTGTCCGGATCTTCCGAAATCCGGATTTTCCGGGTCCGGATCTTCGAGGGTTTACTGTAATAACAAAGTTATTTTAAGCTACTTTATCTCAATGTATGGCAAAAACATGATTGTATGGGTTTTGTCTTATCTCTTAATCTCAGAGAAATACCTAAATTACATTTAAAATTGAGGAACGTAGTCTGCAGCTAAACCAAGATGCATAAAAGAAGACCTCTCTGACATGGATTGTGTGGCTGTAGGAAGTATTTATGTTCAGTGCCATTTTATGAAATGAGAACATCCTAGCAGGGTGCTAACAGTAGGCTTTTGTGACACAAAACCTCTTTCAACCACCATAGCATGGTGTAAGATCATACAGGTCATATAGGAACTGCAGTGGCATGAATATGAACTTACCTTTTAAGGTCAAATGGGTTTAAAGCACATGAGTGTCCACTATGGGCTTTGATGTTTGACTTGGAGTGTTGCTGGTGAAAGACAGCCATCAAATCAGTTAGGATCAAATTCTCGACACAGTTTCAAGAAGGCATGAAGGCTGCCTCCTGCACCCACATTTTCAGTCTAGATAATGTACACTATTCTTAACATGTCAAGGCCCTCTGACAAGAGGTGAGCTTTGCCTGGAGGGCTTTTGTAGATTACTTAAATCTTTCTCTTGGTCATAAAATGAGATTTCATATTGAACTCCTTTTGTTTATCAATTTATACCAGTGTGTGAAGTGGAACTTTCTTGAGAAAATCTATCTCAAATTGAAAATGGTTGCTCCTTAAGATCCATATGTAAAAAAGTCGATTTTTATTTATTTGTTTGTACTGCACGTCCATAGTCTTCACGAGATTAAATATCATTATAAATTTTTATTGTTACAGTAATTTTAATGTAATGTCAGTGTTTAACCCCATGAAATAATTTTCTTTTCCTGCTGCTCCTGGACACATCAGAACTTCAATCACATATTTTCTATGACACAGCATATAATGCAGTTGCCTGTCGGGTTACTGAGTCCAGAAATGGTGGTCACGGGTCCAGCCCTGTGCCTTTGAAAAAGTAAGACTTCAATTTTTGTAGCTTATGGTGTAGTCATAATGTTTCTATGTAGACAACTAACATTATTTTGCATGGTGAAAACTTTTTGCTACTAATGTATTGAATTACCAGTATTCTAATAAGCTAACATTGGGAAAGCCTCTTGGGAAAAGAGAAGAGTATTTTTTTATCATATCTTTGTTGTTTTGGCAAGCCTTAAAGGAATTATCAGTCAAATTTTGTAATTAATATAACTTTTAAGGTACCTCTATATATATATATATATATATATATATATATATATATATATATATATATATATATATATATATATATATATATATATATATATATATATATATATATATATATATATATATATATATATATATATATATATATATATATATATATATATATATATATATAATTTTTTTTTATCTTTAGCCACTTGTATTAGACAGAAAGTAATGAACACATTTGTTTATCTTTTATGATATTACACTCCTAACCTAAACCACAGTGTACAGGAGACAAATTAGTGTATGGACTATTCCATGCACTTCGTATCTGTGTTCCTTTCAGATATCATAATGGTACTGGTAAAGCCTGTACAATGTTTTTTTAGGCATCAGGATGATGTGAAGTCTGACATGGTGCAGCTCCTGTATCTAGGGCGAGACCAGTGCTAGTTGGAGTCCTCCCCACAGCCTCACTCACAGCTAGAGTAAGATTCTGCCTTTAGGTGCTCAGATATTGTCCTTCTCATCTTTATGGTTGCCTGTGTCGGGGACGTCACACCTGGTTGTTGGTCTACTTAACACAAGCCTGTCTGGTATGGTCTGGTCAAGGCAGCTGTGCCACCTCATTGATCTCTTTTTAACATTTCTCTCTTCCTCCTTGTACCTGTTGGTTTGGGCCCATTATTTTTTATGCATTCTCTACCCTTTTTGGGTTGTAAATAAATTCCTATAACTACAGTAGTGTATGCTGCATTACAGTAGAATCTCAGAATACTGGAAACCAAACATCTGATAGTCTCAGAAGTTGTTTAAGAAATAATCACAGAAAATATAAGGGAGAAAAACTAATTGCTATCAGATCTCATTAGAGAATAAGGCCACATAAAGAATTATGAATAAGAATGATCCAGGTCGTGATGAGCAATTTAGTGCAAAATTAATTATCAGTAAACTTAAAAAAATCCACCATACTCTTAACAAGAGTCCTGTCCTGTCCTGTCCTGTCCTGTCCTATCCTGCACTGTACTGGAGCAGTGAAAGAAATTCCAGTGTCTCTCATGTTATTTGTGGACAGTTTGTCTTTGCATTGAAAACTCAATACTGAAGCCTGTAACCTTATGCAGCCATAATTACTTATATATTTTTATACAGTACACTACTTGTTTATTACTATATTGGATATGGGACCATTTATCAGGCATGCTTGGGATCTGGGGGTTGCCGGATAGGAATTTTTCCCAGAATTTGGAGCTCCAAGCCTAAAAATGTACAAAATATACAGTAAACCCTTTGTAACTGCCTGTGAAGACTGTTCAGATCACTAGATTCACCCCTGTAACATTAAGATATAAAATTGTAGGCATATAAACATCAATAAAAAAACTTTATAGATTGCACATGGATAATGAAAGCATAAAATTAATACGAGTTATTGTACACACTGTGTCGCACTTGCCCCTGAAACTCCCCTTAGCAACGGTGCTCTGCCACGGATCCTCCAACCTCTACACATTCACCACCCTTAGATATGTAAAACTTTATATCCTATGATAATTTTTTCTTTTTGCACTTTATCTATGTAGAATTGTATCTACATGTAACTAAGTAAAATAAATGATGAAAATTATGTGTATCTACCCAAAATTACTAGTTGAAAAACACTTTTTAATGTACCTATTATAATTATTTATATTTTTTTCACTTTTTGTGTGCAAAATTGGGTGTGTATGTAAATGAGTAAAGAAAATTAAATGTACTGTATCTACCCAAAATTCCGAGTTGAAAAATGAACCAAAACATAACTTAGCTCACAGGTGGAGAATGGTTGGAACCCCGCTCAGCCTGGGAATAATTTTTGGCACTTTTAAGCAATTTGTTACAGAGCATAGTCGATTTTTGGAGCATTATGGATACCAGGTTGTTCTATACATGGTCCCATACCTGTACAGTATCAGACAAGGTATATTGGTGTTTTTTGAGTACACTAATTACATTAACAGTGTCTCCCAAGTTCAGGTGAGATTTTATACAAATCCTAATATATATATATATATAATACTAATCATGATTGATAAAAAATACTGTACAGTGTATATAATATGGGAAAACTCAGGTATCCTCACATAGAAGTGTGGCTTTGTTATCCCAGCTACAGGTTTGGCTTGGCCTGTGGATCTTGCAATTAATGTGTGTTGAATGTGCGATTCAAAGCTTTAGATTCACACTTTATTGCAAGTACAGCATGCCCTTCAAATTCCCGGGGGTTACGTTCTCAAAATGGTCGCGAATCGCCAAATCCGCGAATAACATTTGCTGACCAGGGGAGGGGAGGAGGGGGTACATTTTTACTTGTATACAAAGAAATGTATATTCCCTTTATGTGTTTGCCCTTAGGATCATAATTTAATTTACCTGTATTGTATATATACGTATGTGTGTGTAGACACACACACACACACACACACACACACACACACACACACACACACACACACACAAAACCCATACAAATAAATAATAATGGGAAAATCCTCTCACAAATAATCAGAAACAAATGTATTAAAAATGTTGAGTCTACCCTCAAGTCTACTCTGTGCTTTGTTATTAATAAAGCAGCTATAGGTAGCAGGCGGTTATCAAACAGGGAGGTACTACTGCCTGGGAAGATATTGGAAGCATTAAGTGTTGTCTAATGGTAGACCCTACTGCCATATGGCATCACAAAAATTGTGACCAAGCCCCAGGTTGCTGATTTGACTTTCTGCCTCATTTACATACAATTGTAGGGTCAATTGTTTCTCTTTCTTTGACAGCACAACATACATAATGTATATCATTTCAATACAGGGTACAGTACATATTTACCTTATGGAAGGGTCATTTTCGGTTTACAGAAAATTCGGCTTGAAGATAGGGTCCAGGAACGGAATCTTTCCATAAACCAGGGAGTGTCTGTATTTTTTTTTTATGTATCTCTTTGGTTTCTAACCTATCTGGCATAGCTTCATTAATTTGAATAATTTGTTTCTTAATTTAGTGATTTTTTTTCTTTTTTTTTACCATTGGGATTGTTTCTTTGGTTGGACAGAAGCCATAGCTATCTGCTTTCTGCTCAGGTACTGTAATGAAGTCTGTGGTTAACAGCCACCAAATTCTGTTTATGTTGTTCAAGTTAGTCATCAGTATCATGTAGCCTCCATCTGGTCACCCTTGTTAAGTCATCATGTCTGTAACTAAAAGATGGTAAGAAATAATGGTTTGGGTATTTTCATATTTTGGGCAAAGAGTATACTGGTAATGGGGGGGGGGGGGATCACTCCTTCATTGTGGCAGGATTTAACAACACTTGACAGGCTGTATAATATTCACTCTCTGTGACGCTCAACATACATATTGGGTCTCTTTTTCTTCAGTTTTATATTACTCGGAAGATACTGTAGTACAGGGATATATCCTTTATTATTACTGTACTGTACAAGGTATTGATATGTATTGTTTATTTTTCCTTATATTTTATGTACAGTACAGTTGTACCCCACTTAACGCGGTCAATTGAACCCAGAGGGTCCCGTGTTAAGTGAAATCCGCGTTAAGTGAACAACAGAACATATGGGATTAATTCCAATAGAAACCGGCCTGACCCCCAAACTCCACTTTTTGAAGGCACATACCTATGTTGTAGTAAAAATAACATCTTAATTTTATGATGGTACATGCACACAATTAATACTTAAGAGAAATACAGTCGCCAAGTTAATGTCCATTCAAATAATGGACTCAACTCCCTCCCTCTCTCACACTACACTCGCTGGCTCTTCCCTCTCAGAGAAATTTTTGGGGGAAAACCACTAAATTTTAATAAATAATACCTCAAACTAAAGTTAGGATAATACAATTGACATTGCTGGATTCCTTGTAAGACCAGGAATATTTTGAATATAAATGTCATATATTTTGCACAAAAGATAACATAGTTACCTAGAGAAAAATTTTTATCTAAAATTTGTATGTTTAATGAAAAATATATGATGTTTATATTCAAAATGATCACCAAATTATAAGAATTCCAGCAATGTAAATTATATTCTGACCGGGTAATTTGTATGAATTTTATGAGCTAAAACAAATATCTTCAGTTAATAAAAAAAAAATAATCTTCACAACACTATCTGTCAATCAAAGTACCCCACCTTGCCTCCCCCCTCTTCCAACCGCGCGGTCAGTCCCAACCCTCCCCCCCACCCCCCACCAATCCTCCCTTCCAGGGTTTTTAACATTTAGTATTAAATAATACCTCAGATTAAAGTTAGGATAATATAATTGACATTGCTGGATTCCTTGTAAGACCAGGAATATTTTGAATATAAATGTCATATATTTTGCACAAAAAATAACATAGTTAATTTGAGAACAATTTTTATCTAAAATTTGTATGTCTAATGCAAAAATATGATGTTTATATTCAAAATGATCATCAAATTATAAGAATTCCAGCAATGTAAATTATATTCAGACCGGATAATTTGTATGAATTTTATGAGCTAAAACAAATATCTTCAGTTAATAAAAAAAAAAATAATTCTTCACAGGGTAACAGATGGTCGGTCGGTCCCTCCCTCCCCCCCACCCCCCACCAACCGTCCCAAGGAGATGTGTGGGATAACCACTAAATTTTAATAAATAATACCTCAAACTAAAGTTAGGATAATATAATTGACATTGCTGGATTCCTTGTAAGACCAGGAATATTTTGAATATAAATGTCATATATTTTGCACA